CAGAGCCAGGGAGCAGTGTGGCAGCTGAGAGCCAGCTAGGCCCTCCTGACCTACAGCAGATTGCCTTGCCATCTGGGCCATTTGGTGGGGCCAGCTACAGTGTCATCACAGCACCCCCTCTGGAAGAGAGGACGTCAGCTCCTGGGACTCCTTACAGGTAACTTGGCTCCTTTCAGTCTTTAAGAGGCGCTCCCCACTCCAACCCAGTTAGCAGGAGGCTGAGTCCTGGTGTGTACAGAGCAGCAGGAGATTGTGTTCTGTGCAGGCTTGGAAGCTGCCATTCTTTGGTCATTGGCTGTTCTGGGAACTTGGCACTAATGGTCTTGCCTAGCTAGCTCCCACAAGATTCCCTGCTTTTACAGATGAGGAAACAGGCTAGAGGTTAGGTCAGCTGCTTAGGTGGTGAGGCTTGGAACACTGGTTCCCAACCCTATATACCTTTTTTCTGCCCCAAATGTGAGTGCTTATGTGAGTTTGAAGCCAGAAGGCATTAGATCCCCTGTGGCTGTGGGTGCTGGGAACCAGTCCTGGGTCCTCTGCAAGAGCAACCAGTGTTCTTAGGTACTGCACCATCTCTCCAGCTCTCCATCCCCATGAGTTCCTCTGTCTTGAGTGTTTGAACAAATGTGGGTCATTTGTTGACCTGCTTCCCTCTGGTGCAAATTCGTGACAAGCATTTCTCTGCTCACTGAACTTTTAGGCCATCTGAGGAGCTCTGGTCCTGTGCTATAATGAGGGTTAGAAGCTCTAAGCCAGCATCTGGGTAGGCTGCCTTAGCCTCTGCCCTGCCTGCTTGACTACCAGATCCATTCTGTTTCCTCCTGTTGCCTGGCCTCTCTTCCTGTCCCGTTTGGCCAGCTCAGAGCTGGACACCTGGAGTGCTGTCTTCTCCCTACCAAGGGACATGGGGGGCCACCCCTTGAGTAGGGTGAAACCCTGAGCAGCTCTTGGTTATCATTTATGGAAGAGACAGCGGGGGCCTGGGTGGAAATGGTTGAGCGACGCCTTACATTCACTCAGGCTCCTTCAGCTTAACTGTTGCTTGGAGAAGGGATTCTTATAGCCTTCCACCCTATTCTGGAAATCACACCTCATACTTCCACTCTGTGCCCTTAGCGAAGAACCTCCTGGGGAGACAGCCCAGGCTGTGGTTGTGAGTGAGAATCTCAAGGAGGCTGGCACCCACTATATCATGGCAGCTGATGGAACCCAGTTGCACCACATCGAGGTGAGTCTAGGGAGTGGCCACCCCACCCAGTGTCCTGCCTCTGCCCCTCCTTAGCACCTCATGCTATGCATTTTTCTACAGTTGACTGCAGATGGCTCCATCTCCTTCCCAAGTCCAGATACTCTGGCCTCTGGAGCAAAGTGGCCCCTGCTTCAGTGTGGAGGGCCACCCAGAGATGGTCCTGAGGTTCTGTCTCCAATGAAGACTCACCATGCGGGAGACCCCCAGGGCTCTTCCACCCCATCCCCTGCAGCCAGCAGCACCCTAGGCCTGGTAGTACCCTCCTCCCCATCATCCGCAGCAGCTTTGTCAGCAAAGAAGTTCTCTTGCAAGGTGTGCTCAGAGGCCTTTGCCGGCCGAGCAGAGATGGAGAGTCACAAGCGGGCCCATGCTGGGCCTGCTGCCTTCAAGTGCCCTGACTGCCCCTTCAGTGCTCGCCAGTGGCCTGAGGTCCGGGTAGGTGTGCCCCCTTCATGCCTCTACCTTCATTGCTGCGGTCACTCGTTTGTATAAGAACTCTTTAGAGAGCATCTCCTCAAGCATAGTCCTCTGTGCCCCTCTAGGGTCAGAGGTGACTCAGCAAGATCTCAGGTCTGGGAGCTGCTTGGTCCAGGACACCAACCAGATAAAAAGTGACTAATGCCAGACTGTGTTCCCGGTGCGAAGGATACAGAGTGTAGAGCAGGGGCGGCAAGGCATTGGATAGGGTGCTAGAAAGACCACAGAGGTGGCAATGGAGCCAGGCAGTGGAGCATAGGCACAGAGAGGCTGGCATGACCGGAGACTGAGGCTGCTAGAGGATGGTGGGAGAGCAGATGTTCGAGGCCAGCGTGGGATGGCATGAAAACAGAATAGTTTCTGATAGATTTCATCAACTCTTTCCACTTGCCGGAGGGTTTTCAGATCCAACCCCGTGCTACATCCTCTGAGCTCTTTAAGGGGCAAGGGCCTATAGCCTCACCCTCCAATGGGAAAGGTAATGCCCAGTTAGGCAGGACTGAGCCCTAGCGTGCAGGAAGTCCCTCTTCAGTAAGTACGGTACAGAGTCACAAACTGAGACAGAAATTACCCAAGTGGTGTAATGGCACAGCCTCTGGCTTCTCGCTTTATGTCTGTGGTAGACTAGTCTTAGTAAGGTCCGTCCTTTTGGTCCGGCTCCTCGCTGACATGTGCATTTAGTTTCTGTGGAGACTTGTTATCTCCCATTCTGACCCACTGGTACCTGGTCTCTACCTTGTGTAGGCTCACATGGCACAGCATTCAAGCCTAAGGCCTCACCAGTGCAATCAATGTAGCTTCGCCTCCAAGAACAAGAAGGATCTGAGGCGGCACATGCTAACGCACACCAATGAGAAGCCTTTCTCATGCCACCTCTGTGGGCAGCGGTGAGGCTTGGGATGGCCAAGAGTGGGGGGGGGGACTTCCATGCACACAAGGTAGAGCCACTTAATACCTGTTCTTCCCTCAGTTTCAACCGGAATGGGCACCTCAAATTCCACATCCAGAGGCTACATAGCAGTGAAGGGAGAAAGACTGGGGGTGCTACAGCCCGAGCCCCAGCCCAGACCATCATCCTCAACAGTGAAGAGGAAGCACTGACCACACTGCACAGTGAGCTACCCTGGGCCACAGGGGTGGGCCTCTGGTCCAAAGGCTAGAACCACAGCGCAAGGGAACCCCAGGGATGAGGCATTCAAGTTTTCCCTGAACCCCCTAATGAGCCCCTCCTCTCTGCCCAGCTGCCATCCAGTCCAGTCACGGTGTCCTAGGTCCAGAGCGGCTACAGCAGGCACTGAGCCAGGAACACATCTTTGTGGCCCAGGAACAGACAGTGACCAATCAGGTAAGCAAAGTCTGGAGCCCCTGCAGAGAGGATGGGACAGACAGAACTGAGAGGTGGCTCAGAGTTAGGGTTAGAAGCCTTGCACCATCATGAGGAGCAGAGTTTAGATCCTAGCTCCCACCGTGTTACAAGTCTGGCCAGCTCTTGCACTCCTAGAAGCCCAGCTCCAAGTAGGGTAGAGACAAGAGACCTCTGGGGTTTGTGTGGCTTCCAGCCAAGAACTCCAGGTTCATGGAGAGACCCTGCCTCAACAGAACAGGCAGGGGAAAAAAAAGTGAAGAACAATGCTTGACACCCTGCCTGACCGTCTGGCCTCCTGGCGGGTGGAGACACACATACACACCAAAAAACACAACACAGAACACGTGAATAAATAAAAGAACTGTGGCTAAGTTGGGCTTGGTCTTAACAGGAGGAAGCTGCCTACATCCAGGAAATCACCACGGCAGATGGCCAGACAGTACAGCACCTGGTCACCTCTGACAACCAGGTAAACTCCTGTCTCCTTGCCCGCCTAGGCCCACCTTAGAACACAAGTTTTCAGACTACCTGGGCCAGTGTCCACAGTTGTATCTTCTACTCTGCCCACTTACCTCAGTTCTCATTGAGTGGAGCCCTAGAACCTGCCTTGTCCTCTTTCTTAGGTTCAGTATATCATCTCTCAGGACGGCGTCCAGCACCTACTGCCTCAGGAGTATGTTGTGGTCCCTGATGGCCATCATATCCAGGTAGGCCAGGTCTGGGGCAAGGTGGGGTTTGGAGGAAGGCCACACAGCCTCTTTCTAGATCACTGGCCAGCTTCCCATCTCCAGGTCCAGGAGGGCCAGATCACACACATCCAGTATGAGCAAGGTACCCCATTCCTACAGGAATCCCAGGTATGTTACCTGGAGGAACAGGCAACTACTCTGGGGTAGTGAGGCACCTGGTGGACTATATTCTTACTGGCTTCTTTCTCCAGATCCAGTATGTACCTGTGTCCCCGGGCCAGCAGCTTGTCACCCAGGCTCAGCTTGAGGCTGCAGCACATTCTGCTGTTACAGGTATAGATGGGGCTGAACACTGACAGCCAGGAAGCTGAGGCCAGACCCAGCTCCTGGAGCCTCAGGCTTACTGTGTTTTTCCCTCCTTGGCAGCAGTGGCTGATGCTGCCATGGCCCAAGTCCAGGGCCTGTTTGGCACTGAGGAGGCAGTGCCTGAACACATCCAACAGCTGCAACACCAGGGCATCGAGTACGACGTCATTACCATCACGGATGATTGAGCCTCAAAAGCCCAACGCTGATCTTGGATATCGGGGCCAGCTCTCCTGGAGACGGGGGACTTTCCTGTCCTACTTAGGGCCTCCAGATACTGGACAATCAGTATCCCTTGACTCCAAAGGAGCCAGACCTGTGCTCTTGGGGGGTGGGGGGTAGCCATGGGCCCCAGCCAGGACATGCTGGGTGCTTCAGCCTGCTGGCAGGCTTTGGGAGAGAAATTTATTTTTGTTTGGATGGACCCACTGGCTCCTCAGTCTCAATAAAGGGACCAGAGTCCAGCCCTTGTAGCTCTCTTTGTATACATGCTAATAACCTGAACCAGGTAAGGGCCAGGAAAGCAGGCAGAAGTCTCAAGTGGAGGCTACCTGACTCCACAGTCAGCTGACCCACCTGTTCCAGTGGTCCAGTACAGGCCCAACCAGCCTGACCCCAGGAGATGACTGAGCTAAAGAGAACCGTGCTTTCTCCATGGGCTCCCTGTCTCCAGGACCTGAAAGGGCAGGTACTATACCTATGAGGCTATATACTTTCTCTTGGGCCTTGACTGTAAAGCATTTAGCAGCCTGTTAGTCTGGTTTAGGCACTCAGAAGCCTCTAGGGACTCAGACCTGCAAGGACCCAGGGATGAGTATGAAAATCTAGGGATCTTAATAAAGGGACGCCTAGATGTGGTAGGGAGTGGTCACAGAGGCAACTGCCCCAAGACCCTCACACACTCTTGGGGAGTTTCTGTATTTCCTTTTACAAATGAAACAAGGCAGCAACAGGGTCAGTGTGGGGCTGGGAAGGCATGGGCCTATTTACAAGGGATTTGGTGAATCTGGGGGAGTGAGCAGGGAGGGGGAGTCCTGGCAGAGCCATAATATTCCTATGTCCTTGGCAGCCCAAGTCCTGCTGCCATCCCAAGGGAGTGCCCTGGGGCCTGCTCAGCCCTGAGGACTGAGTTCCAGCAGTCTATAACAGCACCCCTGGGGCTCCTCCTCCCCGCAGGATATGTTAAGTGGGGTGAGACTCTCTACTAGGGCCCTGCTCCCGGCCCGAGTCCCGGTCCTTGGCCTCTGAGGAGGATGATGAGGAAGAGCTGGAGCCATGGCTGCGACCTGACTGCTTGTAGGCAGTGGTGAGCTCCTGCAGCCGCTCTGGCGTCGGCCCCCACTTGGCAAAGCCAGGGTCGTTCTGCAGGAAGAGCACAGCCGTGTTGTGGACGGCCTTGTAGTGCATTTCCTCCCTGTGGGCAAAGGCAGCTGTTCAGGAGAGGGCACAGACTGGCCTGCTCATTCAGCCTGCCAGCCTGACCTGGCTTCCTTCCCCTGCTGCCCGGGCACCTACTTCTTGCAGATGTGCTGGGAGCCACTGCGGTACTCGTGCTCAAAGGCAGGCAAGATCAGCTGGTGGCGTTTGAAGCGGCTCTGCTCCATTCGGGTGAGCGCTGGTGTGGGGGGATCCCGCCACTCAGGGATGAACACAATGAAGGACAAGGGCTCTGGTGAGCTCTCCAGCAGTTTCTGTGGGAGGGAGAGTATGGGGTGGAGATGAGGTTCTGCCCTGGAGGGCAGTTTGCAATTTTGCCTGCCTCGTCAGTTGGCAGCACACCCACCTCAAAGTGAGAGACCATAGCATCCATGAGCTCCTCGCAGAACGGAGGGTTGGCCTCAAAGGAACCACTCAGCGGGGCGAAGTCCAGGCAGGGCCTACAGAAGGTGAGCATTGTAGTCTACCGGCACCGTCCCTCACACATACTGCCTCCACCTCCAGACAGCCACAATGAAGAGATGACCACAGTCAGGCCAGAGGCCAATATTCACCCTAATTGTGCTAGGGCAAAGAAGTGACCATGTCCCTCAAATAAGTTACAGAGGCTAGGTGTGTGTGCCTGTATCCACTAAGTTGAAGAAATGGAGTTCAGGGCCACCTCAGCAGAAGCCACACCCAGGGCTTCCCCAGCTCATGAGCACAAGGCTCTCACCTTCCGCTGAGCACTTTCTTTCCTTCCTACCTGAATATCCTGTGCTCTTCACCCTGATACTTTTGAGGTCTGTATTAATCTTCTCATCCCTCAGTGCCAGGGTCCCTAATCTAAACCTAAGCTAGTTCACAGAAAAGTCCACAGGCCAGCCTTAGGTAGTGTCTATTTAATGTCTGCCCATGAAGCCAGAAAAGTGGAAGCTCCAGAGCTGTTTCAGCATGTCAGAGGTCACACAGTAGATAGTGTGCACACACGGGAAATAATGAAGACAAGCTATCTTCAAGATTGCCTGATTCCAAAGCCCTAAGCATTAAGAAGCAACTGGCTGGGATGGGACCTGTGCGCTAGCAGACATCTTTATGGGCAGAAGGAGCCCAACAACTCCTGGATCTCACCCGCGGGAGCCAAAGTAGCCATCTGTGTCCGGGAAGGCAGAACAGTACTGACGGAAGTAGCAGTTGAGGGGTGAGGCGAAGCACTCGAAACTGACGCCAAAGAGTCGGTGGAGGGTCTCGAAGACATGTACAGGCAGTGATCCCTGCAGGCCAGTCCCCTCATAGAGGCCCACGCCAAACATCATCTACAGATTAGCCTTAAGTCAGTGTGAGGCTCGTCTCCCTGCTCCTTTCCAAGGGAGCCCTCCCCGGCCCTAGATCTGTACCTGGTATCGACGGAGAAGACACCAGACTCGAGGCAGGAACCTCTCAAAGGCAGAGTCATCAACACAGCTATAGCGATACAGGAGCCACTGTGTGACAGAAAGGAAGGGATTCAGCAGGGATCTCATGGCCTCATCACTGGGAGCTGCTGAGGAGTATGGTCAAGGAAGTAGGAAAGCCTCCCCAGCTCTCACCAGTTTGCTGAAGTAGCTGCGGCTGACCTTGACCATCTCTCCCTTATACCGGATGCAGACCACACTATTCTCCATGTGCATCTCCACACTAGGCATGGGGGGTGCAGACACAGCCAGACGAATTGGGTAGCAGTACACCAGACGGGGTTCCAACTCTGAGGCCTCCACCTCCTCTGTGGGCAGGAAGGACAGTGAGGGGCTATTCAGCTCTAGACAGCGCTCACATCCATTGTGCTAGTGCTTACATGGGTCAGGAAATTGAAACGGTTTCCATCACAAAGGAAACAAAGCCATTAAAAAGCCGCCAGGCAACTGGCATTAACTGGTGACATGTATCAACACCCTCAGCACTGAAGCAGATTCGCAATGCCCTCAGCCTGCCAGACAAATTGGAAGTATGAAAACAGTGGCCTTTGTCTGGATAGTTAAGTTTACTCATATAGGGATCTTTGGGGCCTGTGCAGGTTTTTCTTCCTTCCTTCCTTCCTCCCTCCCTCCCTCCCTCCCTCCCTCCCTCCCTCCCTCCCATTGTCACGGCAGATATTATTACACTTGGGTCTGGGGAAAGCAAAGGTTTAGGGAATGGATTTGACCCAGGTCTGCTTAACTAACTGGCCCATCTTTCATCAACTTCTGGCTCTTCCTTTCTCATTGATTAATTTCCCAGGGGAGTACTAACACCTCAGAGCCAAAAGACAGCAAATTCTACCCAACATTACTCCAAGAAATAGGTTCTCCCAAATCAGCACAGCCTCACACAGCCTCACATGTTCTTCAAGCAGGGCCTAGGACAGACTAGATGGCATTACAGCTGGCGCCCTACCTGGGATGTTGTTTTCCTTGAGGATGGCAAGGTGCTTCTCTCGGATCCGTTTAACATACTCCAGGGAGATGTGGTAGATCTTGCTACAGATGCCTTCCACAGAGTCCTTGGCTGCAGCGGAGACATGGGGCCCACACTGCCTCCGCAGATGCTCCAGGCGGTCCTGGAGAAAAGCCCTGGTCAGGACACTGGTGGCAAAAGGGCCTCGTTGGGGCTGGCAGGTAGAACTCTTGTGGGGCTATTGGATCCCAGATGTCCCAGTTTTGAAAGTGGCTCTACTGTTTACTAGCCATGTTGCTTGAACTTCTCTGAATCTTGTTCCTATCAAGGGAATTGAAGCTAGCAAATAGGACATTGTGACGAGTCAGTGCCATTCCCTGATCCACCAAGCCCCTGTCATGTAAGCATCTAATGAATGGCTGCAGTTTTGTTGCAGTTACGTTGGCAGAACCCAAGATAATCAGTGGGGAGTGAGGCAAGCCAGGCAGGACCACCAGCATTCGCCTTCCATTGGGAAGGCTGCTACAGCACAGGAAACTGGATTGGTGTGGACTTAAGGATTGTGCTTTTAAATTCTTGTTAAAAGAATTATACCTGTGAAACTGCACTGTGAGAACAAGTCACTCTGGCCAGGAGTGTACCTGTCTTTGTCACCACATGTCAAGTACACTTAATGTTGTGATTGTAAACAAGTCTGAAAACGGTCCTGAAGAGCACCCAGTACAAATGCTGATGGAATTAGAAAAGTGACAGGCAGGGGCCAGAGAATGGAAGGGCTGTGTATACCCTAAGAGTAGGAATTGACTCCAATAGTGGCTGGCTGTTTTTTAATATTTATGTGTACACATATAAGTGTTTTACCATCAGTTACTTCTGTATACCAAATGCATGCCTAATGCTCACAGAAGCCACAAGAGGGCATCAGATCCCTTATAATGAAAGTTATAGGTACAGCCCCATGTAGGTGCTGGAATTGGACCTCAATCCATTGGAAGAGCAGCCAGTGCTCTTAACTGTTGAGCCATCTCTCCAACCCCCTAAAAAGGTGGCTTTTAATTGTAATATGGATACACACAAGAAAAGACAGACTGTTCTCACAGATCTACTAAGGTGACATGTTGAACACTCATCAGGTTGAAAAGACAGCTGTTTGCCTCTGAGCTTGAGAGAAAACTAGGGGCCTTGAGCATCTCTGTAATGATTCTGGGTCTGATGAGCATCAAGGTCTGCCACACTGCACACAGGCTTCTGTGGAGGCCAGCCTCACCCTGGGGCCCTCTCACCATGTAGTCCTCTTTGGAGGCTGAGTGGTCCTTCCGAAGCCAGCTGAAGGTATCTTCCACATTCCACTTGACCACTTTCCTACTGTCAGGGGATGCACTCCTGCAGGTTGGTGGCAAGAGAAAGCTGTATTTTGTGCAGGGCCCAACTGTTAGGTGTCTGCTCCTCTCCTCCTCTTCCTACTTTGCTACCATCTTAGGTACTAGCCTCTAGGCTTACCACCCATCTGTCTTTGGCAGCATTGACAAGCCTGTGAGCATTCACCAGACGTATTGCCCCCCTCCCCACCCCATTTTGATTGTGCTGGGTAGCGAAAGCCAAACCTGGACTCAATGAGCCGCCTGGCAGCCTCTGCATATTTAAAGAGCAGCCGTTTGGCTTCCTCCCGGAACTTGATTCGGGATAACCTGAGTTAGAAAATAGGCAAGAATTAGAGTCCTCCTACATGTGACCTGGCACAGGGACCAACCAACTGAGCTGTGGCATTATACCTGATGGGAATGTCATTCATAATTTCACGAAACATGGAAGGCGACACAACTGGTTCACAGTTGCTTGGCAACAGGGGATCAGATCCTTTGTCTACGACTTTGCGCTCCAGCATCCAACGATTGAAAGATTCTCGGGGTGGCTCAATGCCTGTGGGACAAGAAAGCTGCTAAGAACCTGGAGTGTCCAGCGGGGTCCACTGAGACAGGAAAAGACACAGTCATAAGAGTTTGTCATGTGCTTACTTCCTAGACTCTATTCTGAGAATCAGAATACCAAAGACAGGGTCTGGTAATGCAGCCCAGACTAGCCTGGAATTTGAAATCCTGCCTGAGCCTCTTGAGAGCTGGGAGGTATGGGCGCCACACATGCTTTCTCTAAGAATTTTGTCCCCAACTTACAGCTATGGGAACTGCAGACAAGTTGAGAAACACACTCAGCATAAAAGCTGGGACCCCAATAAATCTGTTTTCCTATAGCACACAGAACCACTAGGCCCCCTTGCCACCCAAACCCAAGTGAAGCCAAGGGGAGGCTGCAGAGCTCTCACCCTCCCGCTGCTGGCACAGCTCCCGGTAGTGCTGGCGTAGCTTCAGGATGAGCTGAGAGCGGAGCAGCTCGACCTCAGGGTGTGGGGGCAGGACCTCTGAAGGGCCCCTGTGCTTGATGACAGCATTGGTCTGGATGTCCAGGTCCCAGTACACCCTAGGGCACAGACAGGAGTAGTGAAGATGGCCTGCCCGCTACTACCATACCACACAGTTCTGGGCAAGCTGCCCATCAGCAATGTACATATCCAAGCTAACCAATAGGTACTCACTCAGTGGGTCGGAGGAGAGCTGCTTGCTGTTTATCTTCAGTAGATGCACCCCAAATCTTTAGTGTTGGGGTTCCTGGGATGCTGGGGGAACTGGGCACCGACTGGCTTGTGGGTGTCATAGGTATTTCAATCTGAAGGAAAAGAAACCAGAAGGCATCCAGTCCAAAGTCTGCAGCCAGGCCCAGCAGCTGTACTTAGGACTCCCTCCTGACCCAGCCCTTGCCCTTGCAGGGAGCTTCTGGCCACACACCCAAGATAACCACATACCGACCAGGTCCTAGGAGTCCCAGACACTCACCTTGGGTTTCTTTACACCATTGCCACTTGGCTGCTCCTCCGAGAGCTGCCGCTTTCTGGGCTTGTTCTCCACTGGGGGAGTTTCCACCAAGCTTGAGTCTTGGGGCAGGGGGGTTGCATTCAGCCCCAAAGGGTCCGACTGACAGAAAACAGCAGAATTGCAAACAGTGGCTTAGGAGCCCCAACAGTTCAAATTCTTGTTTTCCCACCCTTTTCTGGCTCCTAATGGAAGCCAAAGGCCTGGAATGCAGATGAAGAACCTTGGACTCCACTCCTGCCTGCTACCTGCAGCTGTAGCCAGGGGTGACTCCTTCCTAATGCCCTCACCTTCAGAAAGGCTATGTTAACCCCACTTCACCACTGACATTGTGACACAAATCAGTGAGTGACTTGCTATGGTCTGTGGCATTAGATTAGTGCCTTAAGAACAAAATGGAAATCGAGAACCAAGACAAGTCAGGGAATGTTATTTTTCAGACAAGCAAGGCTCTGCATGGCCTTGGGCCAGTCACTTCCCTTTGAACCTCAGTGTCCTCTCCTACAAAATGAAGAGGCCCCTGCCTGACTATGTATAGAGGGCTCCAAGAGCTGAGGTTCCTACCAGACAGCCTGTGGTTATACTCCTAGAACATCCTTCCCCTCCCACTTAGCTAGCCTCACCTTAAACCCTGATTCTCAGAGGAGTTCAATCCCCATGGATTTCAGTATATTCTTTAAATAAGTCCACAACTGGAATCCTACTCTCTGCCACAGAATGAACATACCACAAAGACACGGAACTCTCTTGCTGACGCCTACCTCTTCGCATGCTGCCCAGTGTTTGGCATGCTCCACTAATAATCTGCCCTCATCTCTCCTGTTTGATTGCAAGGTTTTTGAAGACAGGAACTGTCTTCCTTGACATTTTATCTGCAGGTATCAGCACAGGGCTAGACACCTAGTTGTCTGAGATACATTTGTGGAAGGCCAGAGGTCTGCTCTGACCCTTGCCCCAAGTCGGCACTCACAAGCACATCGTGCTGGCCCAGCACAGGCATCTCCCACAGGGACTGGTTGGTGAATCGGTTGAAGTAGTAGGGGCGGCTCTCCCTCCGGCTCCAGCACTTCTCCCAGCCTGCATGTACCAGCTCCTCTGCAAACAAGAGTATGACCCAGACAGTCAGGTCTGCGCACAGCACTCCGCTATCCTACCAGCCCATACCACTCCCTCCAGTACCTGGGAGGTCCTGTACCAGGCGCACTGGCTTTGGAGAACAGGGCTGGCTCTGATTGGAGGTGCCTGGAGAATGACTTAGGAGGGATGCTTCCTCCCGGGGGCTGCCGTGATTCTCATTGGCCATCTCAGCAGCCGCGCGGGACCTGTCACAGAGGACCATGAGTGTCAACTCCATCCTACTCACTAATTACAGCCTAGGGCTCGCTCTGGTGACTTATCTACAGTCTTGTCTGGACAGCCAGCCAACTAGTGCCAAAAGAGCAGTGAGATTGAAGTTTCTGTCCCTCAACTGTAAGATAGGGTGCCCGCCTAGCCAAATCCATCCCCTTAATGGTCTGGCTTGCCCTTGGGCTCCCATCCTCCAGGAAGACTGACTCTGTCCCACCTCCTCCCTCCCCCACAGATTTGGTGGACACAGTTCTTCCACAGTGTCACTGAAAGTGCATCAGAGGGGCTGGAGAGATGGCTCAGTGGTTAAGAGCACTGACTGCTATTTCCAGGAGTCCTGAGTTCAATTCCCAGCAACCATATGGTGGCTCACAGCCATCTATAATGAGACCTGGTGCCCCCTTCTGGCTTGCAGACACACATGGAAGGAATGCTATACACATAATATTTTTTTTTAAAAAGTGCATCAGAAAGCTTAGATGGCTAGACCTACAGGGGGACTGTTTCCTCAGACTGGGTCCAGGGCATTGCTCTCCAGAGCTGAGGATACTACCTGTATCCAAAAGGAGCTCTACTAATCCTGCGAACATTTACAGAGCACCAGAGTGGCCAACAAGAAGAGGGTCTGCCTTTTTTGAGAAGTCGCCCTATAATGACCAGTGCCTTCTCTTGGGAAGATGGTAAAGTCAGTGGACTAGTGGGGAGGAAGCATGGACTCTGGTAGTAGTCTGTCACTAAGGAAACCAGTGTAACTGAAGGGGGTTCAGTCCTTCAGAAGCCCCAAGTTAAACACTGAAGAAACCAGCTTCTTTAGATCTGTATTCTCCACTACTCCCTCCTAGAGCACACCTAGCACAAGCCTCAAAGGCCAGGTACTTCCCAGTCTGGTCCTGGTACACACCTAGGGGCCGCCTGAGATCAGACTGATGATGCTCATGTTGTTTTTAGTATGTTACAAAACCCACAAGAAACCCTCACCCACAGTAAGACCACAAAAGCTAATTGGAAGGTTTTCTTTGCATGCTCATCAGGATCCCTGACTGGTTGTTGACGACATCATAGGAATCATTGAACATTTATTTTATTGTACACCCAAAGACGTCTGTTAATTTGGAAAGGGAAAAATCAATAGTTACTTTATCTGTACAGTTTGGCAGATAAAAATTGCAGCAGCAACAGGACACGTGTAACAAGCGGGCCTTGATTACAGAAAGGTTTGGAATGGCTCCTTTGGGGGCTGAGCCCATGGGTTTCAAGGCTGAATAAGGTCCCTTTTCTCTCACCCTCTGGGGTCTGCAACACTAGCATGAGAGGGGTTTCTTCTCTGGCTGGACTGAACCCACGTCACGGGGTCCCACAGAAGCAGGGGGAGGCCCACAGGAAGGTGCAGCACAGGTAGATGGGCTGGTCAGCAGTGAGGTTGACAGGGACTCAGGGGACTCCGTGCATCAGCAGCTGGAGAGCAAATAGAAGACAAGAGTTATTGGCCTGAGAAGCCTCACTAAGCAGAGGCAACAGAAGAGGGACAAGGACACACTATGAGGGTCTGGAGGCTCAAGGAGTCAAAGTTGTACTTCTCAGAGATCAAAGCCTGGTCGATATAGTAGTGTGACCCTGTCTAGACAAATATGCTCAAACAGATCCTTTTGGTTTTTTTTTTTTTTTTTTGGTTTTTCGAGACAGGGTTTCTCAGTAGCTTTGGAGCTTCTCCTGGAACTAGCTCTTATAGACCAGGCTGGCCTCAAACTCACAAAGATCCGTCTATCTCGGCCTCCCGAGTGCTCGAGTGCTGGGATTAAAGGTGTGCACCACCACCGCCGGCAAGAGATTCTTTTTGTTGCTGAGGTTTTTTTTTTTTTCTTTATTGTTTGTTTTTTGAGACGGGGTTTCTCTGTGTAGCCCTGGCTATTCTGGAACTCCCCCTATAGACCAAGCTGGCCTTGAACTCACAGAGCTCAACCTGCCTCTGCCTCTTGAGTGTGTGGGATTAAAAGTGTGCACAACCATCACCTAGCTTTTTTTTTCCAATCAATGTACTTCTCAAACTTTCAACCAACAAAGGCTGCCTTCATAGGCCCTGAACCTAGTTTACCATAGAGCTCTAAACTTGATTTGATGCTTTCGTATCACCTTGAAGTTGGTCGTTTGTTCTAAAGTACTGAAGATGGAGCCCAGAGCCTTGAACATGACAGGAAATTACTCTTTCATGCGCTACATTGCCAGCCCTTGGCTGAGACCACTATGTATATATATAGCTTGACAAATATATGAGGTACTGGGGATAGAGCCTAGATCCTTGGTCATGCTAGATAATTGTTCTGTCACTGAGCCACGCCTCTTTAGCTTTTGAGACAGTCTCAAAAAATGGACAACAATATCCTTGAACTTGATCTGTAGTTCAAGAAGGTGTTGAATATATATATGATCATCCTTCCTTAGTCTCGGGATTAACTGAGATTAGAGCCTGTACAACCAGGACTGGAAAAGGAAAAACCTTGCTTTCCTGGAAACCAAAGCCAGATCTGCGGTGCTGAGTGAGCACTTCAATGAGCAATTCCACCTGCAATCCTGGAACTGACTTTTTTTTTCTTTTGTTCTTGGGTTAGAGAGGAACTCAAACTCCCTTTGTAGCTGAGTATGACCTTGAACTCCCAGTCTGGCCTCTTTGACTTCCCAGGTACTAGGATTAGGCGAGGACCACCATGCTCAGCTCAGTTTTTCCTTCTGAACTGGATTTGGCTTTGTTACCCAGACTGACTTTCAACCACTGCACTCAAAACATCCTTCCCTTTCAGCCTTCCCATTAGGTGGGACACAGACACATGCCAAGGGGAATCAGGTTTTCATTTCCAACACTGAAGCCCCATATATTGCACAACCAGCTGTGCCAACCAAAATGTCTGTCGACCAAAGAACAGGGAACAAAGCATACGGAAGATTTGGGACACTATCTCAAGTCACCCACAACTAGTAAAAGACACACTTTGAAAACATTATAAAAACAAAACCATGCAAACACATATAGCACATCTCATTCACCTTTATTGAAAACTGTTTATCTCAGAAAATGTGACAGAATGCACCTGGTTGATGCATTTGTTAGAGAAGGCAGAAGCAGCAGCCCAGCCCGATGCCACCCAAATGGGATCACCGCAGCACTTCCCACAGCAGCTGTTACCAGACTCATCTAGGGCAGATTGCTGTGCCCCACCACACCTGTTAGGAGTGAGAAATGGGGAAGGGAGCTACCAAACAATTGGTAACTTTAGGACAGGGTCTCACACAGCTGAGACTGGCCTTAAAGGCCTAATCATCCTGCCGGTATCTCCAAGGGTTGAGACTACAGGCCTACTGCCCTGGGTCGTCCTAGCCTGCCTCCGTCTCTTAAAAGTGCTAGATTTCCAGGTCTGTGCCATCAACCCTCAACAAGACTGTCATTTTTAAACACGCCACAAGTGGGACTGGGAGACAAGATGACTAATTCTTTCACTTTACGCGGCTTGAAAGTTTTATCAGCTTTGAATCTGCTAAGGGCTAATGGTGAAACTACGTAGTACAGTGACGGGGGCGCGCGCGCACACACACGCACTAATAATTAAAAATTAAACGAGCCGGGTACGGAGGCAAAACGCCTTCAATCCCAGCACTCGAGAGGCAAAGGCAGGAGGATTTCTGTGAGCTCGAGGCCAGCCTGATCTATATACTTGAGTTGCAAGACAGCCAAAGCTACACAAGAGAGATCCTGTCTCTTAAAAATAAGAAACGAAATAAATCCGCTTAGATGGGTGCAAAAGGTCTCCTGCCCAAAGCACCAGACCCACCAAGTTCCAGGCCGGGCTGTCACCCCGACTTCTAAGGCAAAACCACTTGACCCATTAGGTTACTGGTTTCCTTAGCCTCTGCCTTCCGGACTCCCACGCACAACAAAGTCGGAAAAGCTCAGCGCAGTCCACACACAAACAACTGCATCTGTGCACCAGCGGAACCCGTGAGAGCCCAAGTATTCGATTCCGGGATTGGAGGAAGGTGGGGCAGCACTTTCTAGCGGACCAATCAGAATGCTCCGGCTCCAGCGGGCGGAGCCACGGGCTCTGCGCAGTGCGCACGCAGGGACTGCCTCAGCGCGCACCCGCGCATCCCTCCCCCACAGCTCAGCGGGGGCGGGGTGTTTGGCGCGCGCGCGCCGGCCCATCTCTGGGCTCCGCCCCCCGCCCTGCCGCGCGCTCCCGCCCCCGGGCTGAGGCGACTCAGAGTCGGAGCCCGACACAAAGGCGGTGGCGACGGCGGCAGCGGCAGCAGCGGAGGGACCCTAGAGGCCGCTCGGTCCGCGCTCCCTGGGCCCACTGCACTCACCCCAGCCAGCGGCCCTGCTGCCCACCCGCGGCTCTAAGATGGCGGCGACGATAGAGACCGGGCGAGCGGCAACCCCGAGCGGGAAGCGCCGGAGGTGCCTCCGCCGTCCTGCTTCGGACTCCCGGACCATGGCGCGGCTCGCGGCGGGACCATGGCTTCCTGGGGCTCTTACCTGCCCGAAGCGGACCCGAGGGGATGCGGCTACACGTTCTGCTCGACCGCCCGTTTTGCCGCCTCCGCCTCGCCCTCCCCAGCGCCGCTGCCGCCATCTTGTGTCCCGGGCCGGGACTCCGCGCTGCGCATGCGTCGGTACCGCCTCTGAGGGACCTCGCCGGGGCCGCGCCGCCATCTTGAGTGTGGCAATGTTGGCCGGCTCCCCGGACCTTGATTGCTTTCGACCCCCTCCCCATCTTCCCGTCCTTCCCTGTTGTCTCGTGTGGTCCGAAGGTGGGGGGAGACAGCTTTGCTTTTCTTGGGATGTAGGCGGAAAGGAATGAATCCATACGCACGCCCTGCCTCAGTTTCCCTGCAGATCACACTCGGAGGGACTGAGGATCTACTTGGACACTTTAGGGGACACGAGACTGGTTTGGAATCTTCTAGGGGCTCGGGCTCAGTTGCAGAGGCGGAGTGGTGACGTCGGTCCTGCCGGCACCTGGGTCCTAGCCTCCTCGGGGCCTGTTCCCCGAGGGGTCCTGCAGTGTTTTCACTGTTTGCTCAGAGGCCAGATGGTGTGCAAAACGAACCTTCTCCCGTTAGCAACCTGTTCACAAGTTGCTCTTGAGTAACCTAGCAGTCTAAGGAGTGATAGAACGGTTACGCTGGAGTTGTGAAGGCTCCACGGTTTAGTTTCACAGGGCACGCGATTGCTAGGGACCCTTACCCGGCTCCTGGCCGGAATTAGGCTGCTAGCTCCACCCACTTGTGGCCTCCCTAGGTCGCTATCGACCAGTAAAGGTAGCTTGAAAGGAGGACAAGTTTGCCACTTGCTGCTCGACCTGCGCTGCAGACGCCAGAGCTGGTCGTCCTCTGAAATCCATGATTGATGACGCTGGCTGCCTCCAGTTCTGAAGTGGGATGTTAGGAGGTCAGGAAAAATGGCGACCAACAGTATAAGCTAGTAAGGGGGGGGGGGGATCTTAGTATTTCTCTCTTTTTTTTTTTTTTCTTTTTAAATCGCTTTACCGTGTTAACCGTGGTTGGCCAGAAACTCAAGGATCTGCCTACTAATCCCCCCTAAATGCTGGGATTAAAGGACTGTACTGTCATGCCCAGCCAATCTTTTTTTTTTTTTTTTCCTTTTAAGTCAGGGCCTCACTGTGTAGACCAGAATAGCCTCAAAATCCGTCTGCCTCCTGAATGCTGGGATTAAGACACGCATCACCATGCCTCACCAATCATCTTTTTCTTTTTTTTTTTTTTAAGGTGATGTGCACTGCCAGCACTTGGGGAGGTGGCTACATTGCAAGTTCAAAGCTGAGCTACATGAGACTTTATCCAAGCATAAGTGCTAGCAGCTGGGCCTTTTGGCTCACACCTCTAATCCCAGCATTTAGGAGACTGAGACAGAAGGATCACCACTAGTTTGAAGTCAGCAGGACTACAAGAGTGAAATTTTGCCTCAAAAAGAAAAATTTTAAAAAGGGTTTTGTTGGGGTGTGTAGCTCAATAATAGCAAATTTTCCATGTCCCTCACCCAGTCCCAGTAATATATATATATAAAATTTGTGATGGCGGTGGGGCTCGGCTCCTTTTAATCCCAACACTCCGGTCTCCCTGGCTAGTTCCAGTGCAGTCAGAGGTGTGTACTGAGGTCCTGTCTCAAACAAAAAGTAGAGTCAAGAGTAGACACACCTGAACCCCCAACACTACTCTAGCACTGGAAAAGCTGACGTGGGGATTCTGACTCCTAGGTCAGCCTGGTTTATTTCCCTATACGAAACAAGCAAAACCAGAGTAGCACACAAGAGCTGGCCATGGTGGTCCTTACCTGTCGATCCAGATACTAGGAAAGCTGAATGAGGAAGAACCCGGATGCCATCTGAAGAATAAGCATGCGATGCGTACGGAAACAGTCATTGCATAAAGTACACAAAGCGGACAATGGGTTGGCCGCACTCAGGCCAGTTTCCAGCTCACCAAGTAGAATATAGCACCGGTGATTCTCTTCGACTTTTCTAACCGTGCTTGCTTTCACAGCTGTGCTGCCTCAACATCAGCCATTTTAAGGGCAGCTTGAGCTATAGAAGCAACCTTGTGTCTTGTCCATCTGACCCCCATTCTGTGTATCCTGAGAATTGTCAATTTCTTCCCCCACATGTGGCTGAGCACCAGGTAGCCTCCCTGAATTCTCTCCCCCCTCTACCTCCAGTTCATCCTCCCTCTTCTGTGGTCTCAGAATGTTCTATGCTTACTAGGTATGTATCCACTCTTCACCTGTGCGGTACAGGACTGTCTAGCCAAATTGCTTCCATCTTCAGGAGCTTTTTTTTTGGGGGGGGGGTGTCTTTTTTTCTAGACAGGGTTTCTCTGTGTCACAGCCCTGGCTGTCCTAGAACTAGCTCCTTAGACCAGGCTGGCCTAGAACTCCCAGAGATCCTCTGCCTTCTGAGTTCTGGGATTAAAGGTGTGCACCACCCCCTGGCCAGCATCTTAAGGAATTTGCTTCACACTTTGAGCCTATGCAGCCATTGGGGAGCCATCATTTCTTGGTGCAGAGCTTCCACTTTAAGATCACCTGTAGTTTTAGACCTGTTCTTCTGTAGGTATACCTAATAAATGCATTGCTATCCCCACACACACACCTGAGGGGGTAGGGATCTTTGGTGGAGTCTGGGTGCTGCTGGGACATTGGGGTTGGGGTGACCATTGTATGCATCTTTCTCAGGAGAGGGGTTTAGCAAGAGCTTGTTAGACTCCTACGGGATGCTGACCCTTGCTCCCTGTCTGCCTCCATACCCAGCACTGCTGACAGTACTTGTCTGGTGACCATAAGACAGGCCACACAGTCTGAAGATCTTAGTGACTCTTTTAGGCATCCCTCTTCTATTACAGGTTCTGGCTTCTGGGGAAATGTGGAAGTGGTTCCCTTGGGAAAACCAAGCAAAACATGAGCTGTGTGCTAAGACCCTATAGTTTTTTTAATGTTCTGTGACTATAACCCCCCCCCCCAAGATGCTGGGGATCAAACCTAGGGACCCATACTCCTGGGAGAAACACTGAAGTACACCCTCAACCACTGAGACTTGGGGCAGAAGAAATGGTTGCTTTTCTAGAGGATCTGAGTTAGTTCTTAGCACCCAGGTCTGGTTGTTCACAAACACCTGTACCTCCAACTCCCAGGGATCTGATGCACTCCCCTGGCTTCTGCGGTCCACAAACAAAATTTAATCTTTCAAAAAGTCCATTTTGTTGATAAAGAGCAAAGATGCCTGTGAACTCAGCACTCAGGAAGTATAGGAGGAGAATCAAGAGTTCAAGGTGGATCTTGGCCCCAAAGCAATTTCAAGACCAGCCAGGGCTACAAGAGACCTTGTCTCAAGACCAGTGAGATGGATCAAACCCCTAAAACCAGCTTTAAAAATCTTATAAGCCAGGTGTTGTGACACATACCTTTAATCCTGTCACTTGGGAGACAGTAATAAGTGGATGAGTTTGAGGCCAACCTGGTTTACATAATTCCATGACAGCCAAGGACTATGTAGCAAGACCCTGTCTTACAAAACCAAAAAAAAGAAATCTCTATGAAAGGTGCTGGTTTTGCAGTTAATATCACTTGCTGTTCTTCCAGAAGACCCAGGTTGGATTCCCAGTATCACCACAGCAGCTCACAGACACCTGTAACTGGTTCAGGAGATTATTTAACACCTCTTCTGGCCACCATGGGCATTAGGCACACATGTGGTGCATAAACATAATGAAAACAAAACACAAAAAAAAAAATGTTAAACAGGTTAACATAGGCAGTGCTGGTGCATACCTTTAATCCCAGCACTTAGGAAGCAAAGGCAAGCAGATCTCTCTGAGTTCAAGGTCAGACTGGTCTGCAGAGTGAGTTTCAGAACAGTTGGGTTTGCACAGAGAAACCCTGTCCTGAAAAAGGAAAAACAAAACAAAAAACCTGTGGTTTGAGTGATAGCTCATCAGTTAAGAGCATTTGCTGCTCTTGCAGAGGACCAGGGTTCAATTGCTAGCATCCACATGGCAGCTCACAACTGTAACTCCCGTTCTGGGGGAATCCTATACCTACATACAGATCATACATGCAGGCAAAACACAAGTTCATGTTTTTTAAATTTTTTAATGATTTGTTTATTTTTGTTGTATGTCTATTAGGTGTTTTGCCTGCATATACATCTGTATGAGGGTGTCAGATCCCCTGGAACTGGAGTTAGACAGTTGTGAGCTGTCACGTGGATACTGGGAGTTGAACGCAGGTCCTCTGCAAGAGCAGCCAGTGCTCTAACCAATGAGCCATCTCTCCAGCCCCGCATGTTATTGTTTTTTAAAAAAGCCTATATGAAAGGCCTGGTGTGGAATGTTTAACTATGTAAGTTGTGTTGCAGTTGTTTATGTAAAGAAGTGTTGTTTTGCCTTGCCTGCCCAAAGTACCTGATTAATCTAATAAAAAGCTTAAGAGTCAATAGGCAGAGGAGGGATAGGTGGTACTGGTGAACAGAGAGAATAAGTAGGAAGAGGAATCTAGGTTCAAGAGGAGAGGGTGAGGGAGACTCTGCGGATAGGCAGCCAATAGCTAGCCATACATGGACGAAACAGGAAAGTAGGACAAACAGTGAACAGTGGAAAGCCCTGAAGCAAAGCATAGAGAAACAGGTTAAAATGAGTTATAAGAGCTAGTAGGACAAGCATAAACTAAGGCTGAGCATTCATAACTAATAAAGCTCCATGTCATGATTTGGGAGCTGGTTGGTGGCACAAAGAGAAAACCTGCTACAGCCCAGTGAGGTGGTACCTTTAATCCTAGCATTTGGAGGCAGTGGCAGGCAGATCTGAGTTCCAGCCTGGCCAGGGCCACAGTGAGACATTATAAAAATAAAAAGTGACATCTGTAATCCCAGCAGGTGACCAGGAGAGGAACTGGAGTACAGAGCCTCAAACCTGGGCCCCCTGGAAAAACAAGTGATTTTAACTGCTGAACTAACCCCTTTCATAGAGGACATAGCCCCTGGTTGTCCTGGAACTCACAATGTAAGCCAGGTTGGTTTTACACACACACACAGCAGGTGAGACAGCTCAGCAGGTGAAAATGCTTGTTACACAAGTCTGAGGACCTG